TCCTCAGATCTCAGCCTCCCGAGTAGCTAGGATTACAGGCATGAGCCACCAGCACCTGGCCCATCTTGATTCTCTAAGTGAAAACTGTCTGCTCCAAGCAAACTCCTGTGGACTTTGCCTCTGTGCCTTGCTTGAACTCCATCATTGACAGTGGCTGGCCAGCTTCATTCTCTGACTTTTCTATTCTCCCCACCCACAAATCCCATAATGGGAGCAGTTAGACAAATAGCATACCCAAAACAAACCTAACCTTTTTGTCTTTGGGGCTTGGACACTAATCCATTCCTTTTCTCTTTGCAGAGTCTACTCACTTCAGAAATCTGGATTCTTAATTTCTTCTTGAAGGTAAAACTCCTCTATGAGGTTGCTTGGTTCCCCTCTTCCTCCCTCCCCAATTCTCTGCAGAACTGGAGATTGAGCCTCACCTAGGCAGAGACTAAGGCCACATGGGGGATTTCATGTGACCACCACTCTCCCTCCAAGCTTTACCAAAATTGTCTTAAAAGTTTTTCTGTTCTGGTTATTTTGTTTGGTTTTTCTAGCATTGACCACGTGGTTCTATGGCCAACTCTCATTTTTTAAAAACCTAAGCAAGCCTTAAAACTTTTGTGCAGGTGTGTGTGTGTGTGTGTGTGTGTGTGTACATGTTCAAAGTAATCTCATTGGAACATATGAAAACTGTCATCATGGTGTAAACATTATTTGCTTTTTGACTGCAATTGTTAAGTAATGTGAACCTTGTGTCAAACGAGTTAGTTAATCCAAAACATAAAGGAAAATGTAAATAAAGAGGAAAGTTAGTAAAGAAATCCTAGGGAAAGGAATTAAGGAAACAAAAAAATGGTTTACTCTGGATAAGAAAGGATTTGAAAGCCTGAAGCTGGTGGCTCACACCTGTAATCCTAGCTACTCAGGAGGGTGAGTGAGATCTGAGGATCATGGTTCAAAAGCCAACCCCGGCCAGCAAAGTCCATAAACCACTAGAAAACCAGAAGTAGAGCTGTGGTGCAAGCGGTAGAACACTCACCGTGCTGACAAAAAAAAAAAAAGAAAGAAAAGAAGGATTTGGAAAGTAAGAATTGTCTTAGGTCCCTGAGCATGGATCACTATGGTGATCATCTGACTAACAGTGTGAGAGCTTCTCATTCTCTGCTTATTGACAGCTCAGGTGTCTGCTATATGTGTGTGTGCTCCATACAGCTTTGGACAAACCGCAGAAGGTTTGAGTATGTAGCAGATGTTATGAGCATGTTTGTAAGTCATGTTAGTATGTAATTAAGTTGGTTGTGATTTACATTGAAGACTAGTATCTCATTCTTTTTTTTTTTTTTT